ACACCCTAAAATATGAGGCAGTCTGCAACTGGAGGGTTAGGTGTCTAGGATCCCCGTACATTCAGTGAAAGAAACTGGCTGCCTCCCAAGAATAATCCCGAGTGCCCAGGGGCTCAGCAGGGGGACATTGAGAAGGAGATGCCAGGCACAAAGAAGGGTCTGGGCTCCTGCTTCTCCTCAAACCTTAGGGTCAAGGTGGTGCACTTCCTACCAGCATCATATTGGGAACCTGAATGCCAAAAAGGGAAGGTGCTTAGCCAGAGGTGGATCCAGAGGGGGTGCAGTTGCACCTTGCTTTAATTCCTGCTCCACCCAAGGTTTAAAAGCAACTGCCTGGCAGCATCAGCAGCATTTCTCATCAGGTCCCGCTGACAGAGTCAGTTGACTTCATGGTACATTACAGTACCCGATTCCTTCTAAACTCTTCATTCAACAGATGCTAACGACCCTCTCTCCCTGTTTAATGGTCAGGTCTTCCACTAATAAAGCTCTCTTCTTTTGCTATTTTGCTGTCTGCTAGCAGCTCCTGGTAAGGATGCTCCTATTTCACAACCCTGAAGACTGTTTTTAACTCTAACTAGAACTGTGAACTCAGGTGCACATTAACTCAGATGTGAAAATAACTTTCAGTGAAGCATTGGATGCACTGTCAAGGCACTCAAGAAGGCTAGATTTATTTGGGGAATCTGAAAAAGAGGTGTACGTTTAAATCTAATGACTTCAGGATGAACACAACATCTTTTGATTTTTTTTTTACTTAGTCTGTTTTGTTTTTTATACACAATAGATGTTACATCAAATTAATGCACACTCCAATAGCGCTGTATTTGTTTTTGCTTTGATCTTAAGTAGAATAGCATAGCCCTACACCCCTAGCACTTTAGTTAAGTTTCTAGTTTCTTTTTCCCTATGTTATATGGGGTGATGCATATGTGATCTCCTTTTCAAAATCCTGGATCCACCCATATGCTTACCTGGCCAGGTCACCCAGCTTGCACCACAGCAGTATAAGTCAGTGCAAAGCAGTGTGCCCTGGTTGGCTCTAACTAGTGAACATGGGGAGGGTGGGGGTGGTGCTTATCTTTTCAACTGTAACTTAAGATGACTGGACTTGGCCAGGAAGTGACAGATCTGGCTTTTTGACCCTTCCCAGCTCCCTGGGGCTTAAATCTGCATTAACTACTTCTAGGAGTGTGTCTAGGGTAGGCTGGATGGGAACCACCCTCTACCCTTCCCATAGATTTTGGTCCACTGGGCAGCTAAGAGTAGAAGATATTTGAGGCCAGGGAGAGGAAAAGCAAGCAGGATCCTGACTTCACATCAGTGAGGAGGATTTCAATCCCTGTTATGCTCGTCATATCTCGGCTATGCTGGGTTATTTCTGTGTTCTCACCACACCAATGTAAAATTCATGAACAGTCCTGGGACCACAGTTCAGGCTCCCTAGTCAGGTGCTTTAACCATTTACAGCATTTCCCACATTAGAGGCTGCGTCCCCAGATGGGTCAAAGATGGTTTGTGACCTCCCTGGAAATTCAGGGATAGCTTTCAAGGTTGTATCAGAAATGGAGTACGTGCCCAAAAGTGGAGTCACTTGCCTGAAAAGATGGGGAACCCCCACAAACACACTGGCTGTGTTCAAGCTGCTATGGTTGCTGCACTCTGCACTGCTGTTGTCAGCCAGGCGTCAGGCCTGTTCTGCAGGCGCCTAATGGACTGGAGAGTTGCGTGGAGTTAAGCACCCGGTGACTCTCAGTTTGATCACAAGGGCAGGAGGTAGACATCTAGATTCTAGATCACACGCATGCACACTTAAGTTGATACATCTAGGAAAGTTTTCTGGCCAAAATGGAGGCTCCAACTGAGCCTAGGCATCTCATTGGTTTCATGGCTACAGAAGCAATTTTAATTTAGATCACTATTTTGTGACTTAGGTGCCTAAATACTGCCTATGTCCTGTTTATATACCTGCAAGAAAAATGACAGCCAAAGGGACTGGTCTTTAGCTGACCTTTTTCAGTGGGCTTTGGGCTAGACCTGATCTGTATAGATTTCTGTAGAGGATGGAGAGAAACGGGGGAGGCAAGAGTATTGGTAGGAGTTAGTAGTAAGAAAATAAATACCTTGAAAAGGTGAAAACACAGGTAGAGCTGATGGTGCAGTACAGGCCAACACCTCCAAGGAGCCACAAGATGAGACACAGTCACATCTAAAACCGTATACAGGATTGTGCTGTCAGACTAGAGGATGGCAACCTGGAATTACTGGGCTCCATGCAAAACTCTGCCCTGGCCTCCATCTGGCCCAATTCGTTGAGGGGCTGGGCATCTGTTGGGAAACAGTTTGCATCCTCAGCCAATTCTGTCATTCAGCATTGTGGAGGGGACTTGATACTGCAGGATCAGGCCTGGAGTGACCTGGAGCAAGTCATGTTTCCATTCTTTCAGCTCATCCTATTGTAAAGCTGATGCACAAATATTTAACTGCAGTCCTCAGGGGCATTGTGAGTATCCATCTAATAATATATTCAGAACAATTTCAGATTCTTGCTTGAAACGCACATAAATAAGGTTATCCCCTCACCCCCAACCTCAAAGCCAGCTCCATATTATGTTATGAAGCAATTCCTAGCAAAGATTTCATTTCAGAGAGAGATACCAGAGATGGTAAAAGTTATACCAGCTGAAAGAGACTGCAGATACGCATAGAATTACATGTTCCCCCAAAGCCAGAAAAATACTGAAATTTTATCTTGCAAGCTGCACGGGCAACACCAATCCTCACCATTGTCTCCCTTTAGTGGCTGGACCATGTAAAGAGGTTCATGAGTCCTCTAGTGCCTTCGAGCAAATGTGCTCAGCATCCATAGCTGCAGCAGTAGAGCTTCATACTCAGTGCTGTAGCAAAGTCAGGGGGGCGATGAGGGTGGCCACCCTGGGCGCCAAAGCAAAGGGGCGCCAACAGGCGCTGCCCAGCTAGGGCAGGGTGCAGGATGGAGCTGCGAGCGGCTCATCTGGGGGGTGCAGGGATGGGGGGCAGGGCATGCATTCCTGGTCAAGCATGTGCCCCCTGGATCTGCGTGCAGGGCGAGGGTGGGCTGCCGCTGCAGGCTTTGCCCTGGGTGCCAGACTTTCTTGCCATGGTACTGTTTGTACTTATATATCAGTCAAGAAGTTCTTGCAGCAGGTCAGGTTCCTACAGAGGCCACCATTTGTGTTACAACCCCTTGGGGCAGTTCTCTGCTGACTGCTAAGTCAAAGACCATGAACACAGGACCAAGGAGCATTGCAGCCGCTTGCAAGGGAGAATGAGCAGAATGGCAATAAATGGGAGGAAGTGACTTTCTTTCCTTATTTCAGATTTGCACCAAAAACAATAGGTGTAGCTGGCATAATGCCCAAGCAGGGCAGGGAACAACATTCCTCCCATTGCCATTTGCCTCTTGATGTTGAAGGCAGTTATCCCTCGGTATCAGATGGTGTAACCTGGCAGCCATCCCAATCCTCCACCCCACCCTAAGAAGCCTCTAAGTTTTCCCCACCCCAGAGTCCATCTTGTCCCCACTCCCCACCTACGTACTTCAGGCAATCTCAGACTGGCCATCTCACAGCTCTGTGTTGGCTCCCACCTGACCTTATCACTCCTTGTTCGAAACCCTCTCTTCCCCTGCATGGGTGACCCTTCCATACAGCCACAGGTCTGCCCCCTGTGCCTGTACCCACCATTTCAGCACCCGCCAGCCTGCCTGACCTCCTGCTTAAGCCCATTGTCTCCCCTTATTTGTCACGCTCTCTCCTGCCCAGCTTCCCACTTCAAGAACATGACTCGGGAAGAGCCTTGCCCATATATTGCATGGATATACCCACATCGCAGAGAAGCTGAATAATAAGAAAGTCGCTTTTCCTCCAGAATGATTCTCCTCTGTGACATGCCCATGCATATACTTTGATCCAGAGGAGCGCTAGCCCAGACAGAACCATACCAACAAACTAACTAGAAAAGAATAGAGCAGCCCATTTGGCCTGCAGATTAAATCAAATCCTCAGAATCAAAAAGGCAGCGGGGAATCTTCAGGGTAATGTGAAACCTAGGATGGGCGGCAAACACTGATGTTCAGCTGGATTATGTAGGGAAGCAACCAACAGCTAGCAACGAGGTGTCAGTCTCCCTTTCTGGACACAGTTCTATCATCTTCATCATACCTCCCTATCCAGAAAAGATTCAATGAAAGGGTTAAATAAACTAAACACTTTATGTGATTTCACAAATCAGAGCAGTGCTAAGCCAATTTGTCCCCCAAACTGGGCGCTAATATTAGTTCTTTAGCTGGAACCTCTCCTGACATAGCCCAGCTCAAAGCAGATTCTCCAAGTGATCTCTGCATTTCGCAGACAGGGGGATTATGCACTACAAACACTGACAGGTCCCTTTGCTTACAGTCATGCAAACACCAAGACGATAATCTCTTCCCAGAGATAAAGTCCATCAATCTTATTCCTGACCCAAAACTGTTCCCCCATGCTCCATACACAGAGAAATGAAGGAGACACTCTCAACAGAAGGATGCTTTATAGCTTTCCTTTCTTTTCCCATTTTCACTCTGCCATGTCCTATCCTTCCCACTGTCCCTCTGTTAACATCAGGGGAACACATTTCCAGACACTCAGTGCTGCTCTTTGCTTAGTTAACTAGTTTTCAGTAACAGATTCAGCTTCATTTTGTAACATGGATCAATACAAGTGCCTTTCTCTTCCTGGCCATGTTCTATTGTTGTCATTCACTCAATTTATGGTTGTTTTGTTGTGTTTTGGATGGGTTTTTTTTTCCTGTCTTTGCCCCTTCCCTTTCCTTTTTTTCTGGCAAGGGAGAGATCAATTTAACAAGACGAAAAGACTTGGACTTTCATTGAAGGTAAAATATGCACTTTATAACCCAGGATGCAATTTACCACCCTGTTATTAAGCTGTGTTAATCCTATTATTATGAAGATAAATAATTACCCATAGCGAAGAAAGGGATTCCCAGCAGAGTAGAGTTATATTTTCCATCAGTAATGAAAAATATCCCTGCCGCAGTGACACTGGAGATACAGATAGTAAGCACTCCCAGGAGCCCAAGGAAAGGCTTGCTGCGTAGGCAGTCCTTCATGGAGCTGGAGAGGGTAGCAGTCACAAGAATCAACATCAGGCTCACCAAAACCTTGCCCCTAGCCAGGATGCTGGTCTTGTGGAAGTCCTTCCACAGGCTAAAGGACACCAGTGAGAAGAGCTGCAGGTCTGGGTGATCCAGCTGCATTTTGCGCATTAGTTTACAGAATTCACTCTCCCATTTTTCACCAATGAGGTCTTGGGTAACAGAGCCGTAGGTTTGGAGGTAGTAGGTGATTTGGATGGCTCTGGCTGATTTTACTCTCTGGTCCTTGCTGTTTGGCACCTCCATGACCCCTCCAAGCTGGTGTCCAATAAAACTGCTCCTTCCATCCTTAGGGAGGGGGGAAATAGAAAGAGAGGCGTTATTCAGAGCAAGGCGTGTCAAAGGTATATCTTGTTTTCTCTGCTTTTAATACACATACACACTTGAAGGCCTGATCCAAAGCTCACTGAAGTCAAGGAGTTTTGCCGTGCACCTCGTGGACTTTGGATGGGGCCATCTTCCTCTGGTAGAAACTTTCTCAGAGTGGTTGTTAGCCATATAATGCCAATTTATGGTTCTGTGCTGCAGTTAAAGGCTTGCCAGAATATTCATTACAGACCCAGATGTTCAAGGACTTAAACAGAGCATGCAAACTCCTCACCCCTGGGAGCTGGTAATTTTTCCACATTTAAACAATAATTAACAACAACAAACATCCACTCCCCGAAGTATGAACAACGTGATCCAATTCTGGAAGATCTGTGATTTCCTAATCCTTTGAAATTGTTTTAAGAAACACACCATTTCACAGCAGATTACCTCTCCATTCTGATCTCAGTGACAAAGGGGTAATTCTGGACTGACTCCTTTGATTTTGGCACAATGACTCCGGATTTGTGTGGCTGTACCTGAAATGAGAGTCTATGCACTGCTCAGTGGAGCTACTGCAGCTTCATATAAGCAGGGTGACTACGTCCTGGCTTGGCCTGGACAGTCCCAGCTGGTCAGTCAAATATCCTGGGCCAAAGTCCAGTGGGAAGGTGAAATGGCACAGTATGTCAGGCAGGCAGACACCACTGCCATTGTGCGGGAGCAAGGAGGGCGGACGGCTGGTCGCCCTAAGTTTCCATATCCGAGGTCCCTACATTTCTTTCTCACACAATCAAGCAGACTCTAAAACTCGGGATTAATGACTAAACTTACTGCATCCCTTAGATGCTCCCAGCTTCAGCATCAGAGCCCCTAAAAATGAGGCACTTCACCCTGGGAGAGCAATCCAAAAGCATAGGTTCAGGTAACAGGGCTTCCCATATAGGCAATGCGAAAAATCAGGCGTTTCCAAAGGGCAATTCTGAGAGCTGAGGCACTGAGTAGGGAGCTACCGAGAGTAAGTCAGCGGGGGGCAGTTGAACTTTCATCCCTCTTAGAAGATGGCTCAGGGGAGTGCCCTTTTTCCTGTGTCAAAGACTCAAGCCCTCTCTCACTTGCTCTATCTCTGTGACTCCATGACTCTCATGCTGTTGGCTGCACAGGACTCCCGCTTCAGCAAGAAGATGTAGGTTGAATCTTCTCAGGCCAAAGACGAATTGAACTGAGGACTCCCTCTGTCCTTTAGCCATGACCCCACTGATTCTCAACCGGGGTGCCTTGAGAGCCTTTCAAGGGTGCTGCATACAATGTTAGCAGTATGCACCCATGGGTCACAGGGTAAACCCAGAGCTTTCAAACAGAAATCCATCGTTGCAGTTCTTGGCAACAGAGAAACTGCTCTATTCATTTTTATTGTAGGCAAAAATAGTGAAAGCTAAGAGCTGGCATTTTCCAAGGGAAGCTTTGAGTCTGTCCAGGGGTGCCTCAAGCCTAAGAAAGTTAAGAGCCATTGCACTAGGCTGTTACCCAAAAGGTTGGTCCTGCTACCTCCTCCCCTTCCCCTTTCCAGTGTTTTTGCCTGAAAGTAGCTGTATCTGATGCACTTTGTACTGAACTCAATACTCTTGGTGTGTCTTAGACATGCCTGGATCACACCAAGCCAGTTGCATCCCTCCACAGAGTTAGGTGGAGTGTAGGCAACACCCCACCTGCTTCCTGGATCAGAGTAAAGCTTAGGTAGCCTAGCTAGTTCAACAGAAAGCTTCTTGGCATGCTTAGACACCTAAGTTTAGACGGCTGTGTTTCTTTACAATTCAAAACATAGGAAGTGAGTGAGTGTAGATGCCTACAGGCCCTTGTGGGTGTTGGGCAGACATAATTTGGATTGGTTTTTATGCTTTAGGCACTTAATTCCAGTTAAATCTCATCTGGGAACCTACTTTCCTTACCAGGACCTGGTTCTTCAGCTGCACTAGATACCGAATAATGATTTTTATGACAAAGACACTTTCATAAACTTAAGTGAAAGTTTTCCTTTTGTGTGCATGTTGTACTTTAAACTACCATAAAAATACAAAGCAATATATAAGTAAAGCAAGTCAGTTTTATAGCAATTAGAGCCACAAGATACATTGCGATCATCTGGCTGCTTCCATGGATGAATTAAGCAACAGCTTGGATTGAGGAAACCCCCCAATGACCCATGCATGCTGTAGAAATCTTCACCAAATGACCAGGCACATTATAAGGGAGTTTTAGCCGCTAAAGCCACCGAGCCAAGCCATCGCCAAAAGCAATCGGGTTACATATAGGAATCACTGAGTGAATTTCTATTGCCTGTGTAATGCAGGAGGTAAGACTAGATGAGCATAATGGATTTGCCTGTCCTTAAAAAAAGAAGAAACAAGATACCAGAGTTTATGAACCCACACATTTTCTAGCCTGACTGCTCCTATATCCAGTAGGTACTATAAGGGATTTAGAAATAAGGCTGAAACTTGGTCAGATACTCACCTTACTGTCCCTCTGGTATGAGGGGACAGCATCCTTCAACAGAGAACTTTCTAATAGTGAATGGTCACGTAGCAGGGATGCAACCACTTTGAGTATTAATCTGACATAACCTAATGAATGGGGTCAAGGGTTAACACAATTTTCATATCCCCAGTTGATATAATGGCCTCTGGCAATGTATCTTGGCACAAGATGACATAAAAGCTGATTGGTAACCCCATGCCAGTTCCTCAAATCACTCAGATACTTCATTAAGAGTGCCCAAGCAGTGTATTGTAGGCACAAAAAAGTATTGACCCTGTGTACACTTATTTTTCTGATCAGCCTTTTCATACTCTATTAGCTATATGTTTTTTTGGAAGGAAGATCACACCCAATGCTCAGACAAGCACAGAGGGCTGAACTTCCCAATCATTATTTAAGGATTTAGCAATGCAAGTCCTGTTAACATCAGATGGGACTGTGCTGTTAAAATACCTGGGGAACCACTTTGAAACTTTTGTGACCAATGTTATATTTGCCCAATAAATAGGCAGTGTTGACATTCAAATGTTTCCTCTCACTGCGGGATACTCCAGCAGTTCAGCCTAAGACAGCTCATGCCTATGACAATGTATTGTAATTCAGATTCCATTGATTTACCATAAAGCACGCGCTGCAAAGCTACTGGAAACTTTCTGACGGCCATCTGCCTCTTTTAGTGAAAGGTGCACAGAACGATGGCGATATTTTAAAGGAAGCAACAGAGCAGGCACAAATAAATCGTGAGATACAGTATCTTCCACAAAACAGAAGAGCTATTTGTTATACAGACATACAGTAGGGCATCCTCGCCCATATGTCAGTAAAATATAGAGAAGGTTTTCATATTGAATCAGAGAAATCATAGATGCTGAGCAACTTTAAGGTTATCTTGTTCATTCCTTTCCTGCCAATGCAAAATTGTTTCCTACATATTCTATTTTTTCATCCTTGCTGTATTTCAATGACAGTAATTACATCACTGTGCACCTTACTGGGTGCTGTTCTGATTCTGGCACTGCCTGCATGTTGCCAGTGAGATAGGGGTGCCAGTGTGCTAAGCTCTATGTGAACCAAGGGTAAGAGCACAAGCCTCCCATCTCAACAGGCAAGATGGGCAGCAGATTTGAAGGAAGTAAATTTAATCCTCATTTTACAGATGGGGACTGGCACAGAGAGACGACTTGCCCAAAGTTATAGAGGAAGTCTGTAGCAAAGACAGATACTATACTGGAATCCTCTGGGTCTCCACTTTAAAAGACCAGCCCTTCAAAGATCACTTAAATTCTTGTCATATGCATCTGTATTATGCTACTCTATATTTCCTACCATTTCCTTTAGATTTCAGAGTACAGGCAGTCCTCGGACTTATAACACAATTGGTTTCTGAAAACCATGTTTTAAGTCAAAACATTGTAACTCAGAACTGATTTTCTCATAAGAAACAAAGTTAGAAATGGGGGGATTGGTTCCTGACCCAAGGCCTGATACCCTATTTTCACCAAAAATACCCCAGAATTTTGTACTTGATCAATTATAGATGAGTAATATAGCTACATCAATGTATTTATATTGTAAATAGCAATCATATTGATTTGGAAGGACGTCTTTGAGGTGACTTTGCTGGACTTTTTGAAGGGCTCCTGGCTGGAGTCTTCTCAGGAGTCCTGGCTGCAGGTTTTTCTGGAGTCTTGTCTGCTTTCTTAAAGAAAGTGTCCAAGGAAGTTTGGACAGACGTTCTCCAGGGAGATGAGCGACACAGCAAACTCGTTCGCTGGTGTGGCGTCGCATCGGATCAAGCGTTGTAAAGTCGAAACTGATGTCAGAAAGCTGAAACAGGGCGTCAGTTTATAAACGTTGTAAGTGCAAAACGTAACTTGAAACGTTGTAAGTCGAGGACTGCCTGTACAACTCCCCCACTTGTATTATCCTACATGTTTCCTAGTTCACTGTTACTTCATACATAGTTCACTGCTACTTCCTGCCCCTATTTCACAAGACATTCAAAAAATATGAAATGCGAATACTTGGTAGTGTATACCACTCTTTATCCAGGAATCTCAAAGAGCTTTAATATGGACAAATAAATACATTCCACCCTACTTCAGTGATAGCAAGAGAGACAGCGAGACTGCAGCATCCCAAGCTCACTGGCAGAGTTTCAAAGCTCCATTGTTGTGCCTTTCTTTTCTAACCTCTGTTTTAGGTTCCTTAGATTGTGTCCTCCCTAGCAGGGGCTTAACTAGGACCAGGGCCCACCCAGTCAGTCCCCCAGCCAATGCAACACAAATGATTCACTGAGACATTAAACCAGGTCTTTGGTCACTGTCTGTCCACTGTAAGTTTCCCCCTGCCCCACTCCAATCTCCATTCCTAGCTCCTCAGTGTCTTCAGCAGCTCTGTTCGGTGTCATCTGTGAATTCACCTAAGACCATATTGTTTTT